AAGGAAAGATTAGTCAATTGTAAGTTATTAGTTCAGGAAGTATAGTACATTTATACACTTATCCTTTTATTTGATAAACTTCTCTGTTCTGGAGTGCTTGCGTTGCATTTAGGAGCCCAGGTTTGAGTCCACATACTGGTTCCCCAGCACTACTGGGAGTGCCAGCCCTGAGCAGCATTAGGTTGTTCAAAACAAAAACAAGCAGAACAAAAAGACATACTTTTCCAGACAAAGATTCTGTAGGAGCAATAGTAGAGCTGGTCGGGCGTTTGCCATGCATGCGGCCGACCTGGTTTCCATCTCTGATCCCTGGCACCCCATATGTTCCCCCAGGAAGTAATTCCGGAGCGCAGAGCCAGGAGCAGCACCTGAGTGTTGCTGGGATGGTCCAAAAAGCCAAAAAGTCAGAAAAAAAGAAAAGATTCTATAGATTTCTGAAATAATGAAGTGTTTTTTTTTTTCTTCTCTGTATTGGGGGAGGGCTTGAGCCACATTGGGCAGTTCTCAGAGATTACTCTTGGTTTCTTTGCTCGGGAAGTCCTGATGGTGCTCTGGGTGCTGGAGATTGAACCCAGATCAGCAGTGCCCTAACCATTGTCCTACTGTAGTTTCTTACCTAAAGCTTCTACTAGGTAGTGGTGTGTTTACTGTGATCCAGGAAGAAAAAGCAGGTGGAAATGTCCTTTTTAAGAATTCTTTTGTGTGTCACGGTCTTGTTTGAGAATAACCTTAACAATGACTGTGCATCTTAGAATTTCAGAACCAGGTGTGCCAGAGAGCTAGTATAGGTTTGAGGGAATTGTCTTACATAGCCAACCCCAGTTGCTTCATGTATCCTGCGTACTGCCAGGAGTGACCCTAGAGCACTGAGCCACTGGGTCATACCCTAAGTACTTTTTTTTTATATATAAATTTATTTATTGAATCACCATGAGTGCAGTTACAAAGCTTTCCAGTTTAAGTCTCCGTCATACAATGATGAAACACCCGTTCCTTCACCATTGTACATTTCCCACCACCAGAACCCCCAGGATATCCCCATCCCACCCCCTCCCCTACCTGTGTGGCAGATGGTTTCCATATTACTCTCTCTCTACTTTGATTACATTCAATATTTTGACACCAGATCCACCATTATTATTTGGGACTTTTCCCCAACACTCTCATCCCCCAAAAAGGCAACACTAGACAACCTTTCCTCCATTGCTGACAATGAATAGTATACAGTGTTACGTGGCCACAGTAGCAGCTGCTAGATTTTGAAATTCTGAAATCTTAATGATTAAATCTGGAGGAATTTCTACCAAAAGCCGCTGGGTTCACAGATCTGTTTCTGAGTCTCTGGAATCATGGTTTAAGCCGCTTGTTGAGTAGACAGAGGACTCGTTCGTGACACCCTAAGTACTTCTGGTATGACCCAAAATCCCCTCAGGAAAAAAAAATAGATGCTGGATGTCCCCCCTACCCCCCCCCCCGAAAAAAAATTGACAAGAAATAAAATAGGCATGATTATGATCTATACAAATAAAAAGCAAACCTATATAAAATTTTAATTTATTAACTGTGAAAACTAGTGAGATGGAATATGAAATGAATTTGTAGATTAATGCAGAACTGTTTTCACAGGAACATGCAAATAATCATTCTTCATGAACAAACAGGACTTATATGCATGTAGCACTGTCCTCCCGTTGTTCATCGATTTGCTCAAGCGGACTCAGTAATGTCTCCATCGTGAGACTTGTTGTTACTGTGTTTGGCATATTGAATACGTCACAGGTAGGCTTTGCCATGCGGGCAAGATACTCTTGGTAGCTTGCCAGGCTCTCCGAGAGGGGTGGAGGAATCGAACCCGGCTTGGCCGGGCCGGCCGTTTGCAAGGCAAATGCTCTACCGCTGTACTATCGCTTCAGCCCATATCTTGACAAAATTCCTTTGCAGTGCTCTCAGTTGTCTATAATTTATAATGTAGAATTTATAATAGTTCAAAGAATACAAGACCTGAGGAATCTTTAACTAGAAAGATTATACAGGGCACATTATATAGTGACTACTTTTTCTTTGTTTTGTTAGTTTGAGGAGACCACATCTGGTGATGCTCAGGGTCTGTTAACCCTGGCTCTGCGCTCAGGATTACTCTTGGTGATACTTCTGGGACCATATGGGATGCCAGGGATCTATCCCAGGTTTACTGCATGTAATGCAAGCACCCTACCCTCTGTACGATTGCTCTGGCCTTACCTAGTGATATTTTAAATTCACTCCAGAAGTTCACTTCATACTTTGCCTTAAATCTTCTAAATTCACGTCATGCTTTCAGTGCAAGTCTTTTGAGTTTATCGTAAACGGGCAAAATAAATGGTCTGCATTCTGGTTTCTAACAGAAGCCTGTGGGGTCAGAGAAATTATTGTGGGTAGGGCACTTGTCTTGCATGTGGCCAGCCTGGGTTTGATTTCCAGCATATCCCATAAGGTCCTTCAAGCACTGCCAGGACTGATACCTGAGTGCAGAGCCCTTAGCATTGCTTGGTGTGGCTCCGAACAAAAACAAACCAAAAATTCTGACAGCAGCCTTAATGTCTTACAGCCTTGACTGGTGTCTCTTGTAATATTTTTTCCAAATGATAGAAAATTAAATTGTTTTTAGGTGGACATTTTCTGATATTTGGTCAACATTAGAACATTTCACTTGTATCACTTGTTATCCCGTTGTTCATCGATTTGCTCGAGTGGGCACCAGTAACATCTCCATTTGTCCCTGTTGTGTGCTAGCGAAGCCCAGTGGTGTATTGGGGACTTTTTCAGGGTCAGAGGAATGAGGCCCTTGATTGTTACTGTTTTTGGCATATCAAATATGCCATGGGTAGCTTGCCAGGCTCTGCTGTGGAAATACGGTGTCACTCTCTTCTGTGAGCTTTGTTTCATCGTCTCTGAATCTTTGCCGTTGATGAGATTACGTGGCGCAGGGGGCAGTTTGTGTGTGTGACTGCCAAGCTACTGGAAAATGGGGGATCTGGGTGGAGGAGGCCCCTCCCGATCCCAGCAGGCATGGAGATCTCAGCCATGGGTCCCGCATACCTGGGTTCCTCCACCGGTTCCTTCATAAGTGAGGCTCGTCCGAGCTTGCGGAGAGTGGCCTTGAGCATGGCTGTGGCTGGGTTCTTGAGGTTTTCGGCTGCCGGGGCTCTGCTTGGGGTGGGGAGGGAAATTCAACCTGCCCCCCTCCGAGGGGCCCTGGTGAAGACAGCCTGGTGCGGGGGCAGGAGGTTCTGCTTACTCAGTTTAATGTTAACTCCTTTTTTCTTGGGCGGGGAAGGGGGCCACATGCAGTGGTGCTCAGGGATCACTCCTGGCAGGCCTTGGGGGGACCATATGGTGTGCCTGGGATTGAACACTGGTCAACTGCGTGCAAGGCAAGTGCCCTACCCATGGTACTATCTTGCTGACCCCAGGTTACTGTTGTCTTTTGGAGTAATTGGCAGATACTTAAGTTGTAGGACATCCCAGTACCTAATAGTTTGAAGATATTCAATTGATTGAAAGCAGTATCAGGGCCAGAACCAACACAGCTGACCCAGGTTTGATCCCTGGCACCCCATCTGTCCCTAGAGCTGGCCAGGAGTGATTGTGGAGCCAAGAGTAAGCCATGAGCACCATGTGCCCCCCCCCCCAAAAAAAAAGAGCTGTAGAAATATTTGTAGGGAGTGAAATTCTCTTGCTTTGATAGTTTGTTTGTTGGGGGTGGTCCTCCCAAGCAGTGCTCAGAGGCCATGCTTCTTGGTCCATTAGCCAGACCTCCCTAGCTGTGCTGTTGGCAGAGGGGAGGGGCTTCTAGGCTGCACCCTCAGTGCTTAGGGGGCCATGTGATACTGGAAATCGAATCCATATTGACTGCATGTGAGGCAAATACCTTAACCCCTATTCTCTTTCTGGCTCGTTTTTGCTGTATTTTGAAATTTATTTGTTTTGCTGTGCCTGGAATTGAACTGAGGACCTCACACGGGCAAGACAGGTCTTGTGCCACTGAGTAATTCCACCCTCTGTTTTAGATCTTAAAATGTATATTAACTAGTTGTAATTTTAACAACTTCCCGGTGTTAACTATTTTTCTACCGTTGTAGTTGAACCCAAAGAGAAGGCATGAAGTTGGCATTATCTGCTCCAATTTTTTGCCACCTGATTTTGGTGCTTCATGAAATTTTACTTTGACTCATATTAACTGCCTTACAGTTATGATTTGAAGTGATAGTTTGGTAGTGTGGAAAGAAATAAAATTTGTAATCTTTAAAGACCTAGGTTTGAATCACCATGACACAGCATCTGTTCAATCTTGGGGAATTTCACAATCTGAACTTCTTTATTAAGTGAGCACTTTTTTTTTTTGGGTCACACCCGGCGATGTACAGGGGTTATTCCTGGCTCATGCACTCAGGAATTACTCCTGGCGGTGCTCGGGGGGACCATATGGGATGCTGGGAATCGAACCCGGCTCGGCTGCGTGCAAGGCAAACACCCTACCCACTGTGCTATCACTCCAGCCCTGAGCACTTAATATTGAAGGTGATCATGTGGAATTTTTATAAAAGGCTATAGCTGTGGCCTGCGCATGGTAGTAGTAAGTGGAAGTTTCCTTACCTCTTCCTCTGAAGCCCTCAAGTGTTCCTGCTTTCTTCCTCTCCTCTGTCCATTCCTGAAACAATCGGGGGCATTTGGCCTGACCTCACTCATTTCATATCTTCGTTGCTGTTCTTATTTTTATCTTTCATTTATTTATTGATTGGGTCACACCCGGCGTTGCACAGGGGTTATTCTTGGTTCATGCACTCAGGAATTACTCCTGGCAGTGCTTGGGGGACCATATGGGATGCTGGGAATCAAACCCGGGTCAGCCGTGTGCAAGACAAACACCCTACCCGCTGTGCTATCGCTCCAGCCCCCTTATTTTTATCTTTTAATAGTTAAAAGATGAAGATTTTGAGTATGTTTCTTTTTACTTCGCAGGTTGTTGTGAAGAGTAAATAAAATGTGTGTGAAATTACCTAGTAAGCTTTCCTAGCACATATTGGCTATCAAAGAGAAATTGAATCTGAATGTAAGTTGGTTCTTTATTATTGTTTTTAAGTTATTATTGTTATTAGTTTCATGCTGAAATAAGAGAGTTTAATTCAGGTGCTAGTGAACTAAGAAGATGGTGGACTTATTATCCCCTTATACTTTCAGGCTGGGGTGAGAGGTTTAGGCTAGAAAAGTGAGTAGAAAATTGTGGGAAGTGGGTGACTGGTTACAAGGAGGCTGCTTCTTTTCAGAATCTTTTGTCTCCCCGCTTTCCACTTACGACTGGCCCTGCAGCCAGAGGCAATGGAGGGTCCCCTCTTTGCTGCTTTCTTTTCTTTTCTCCTGGAGCTCACCAAAGTGTGGGTGGTGGTGGGGAGGTGAGTATCAGGAAGATCCGGACTGGTAAAAGAATTCAGTTCCAGTTTGCACTTGTGTTTTAGCTCTTGTCTTTTCAGTTGTGGACAGTTAATTTCTGGAGAAGACAGACAATAAAATAAACGTTTCATTTAGGAAATATGAGAAGAGAAATGGAGTATGTCTTTAAGGTTATTTGATTCTCTTTCTGCTTTTCCTTTTTTTTTTTTTGTTCCATATTAACCCTGTTTTAGGCTTCATCAGTGAATTGCCCCTTTTCCTCCCCCCAGAGAAGCTTACAGTTCTCTTATGAGCACTCCTAATCCCCTGAGTTTATCTTTAACCTTTTCTTTGTGTTTTATCTCTCATTGTCACAGTTCCCCAAGTTTGGGTTGGTTACTTATAAGTCAAACTTTCCAGTAACTCTGGACTTTGTATTTGTAGTGAATTGCTTCCTTTTCCATTTCCCCGATAGCCTTTTCATATTTTACTATAGAGCAGTGTTCTTTGCTTAAAAAACAGAAGGATCATTAATGCTATGCTCCTAATATTTGGGAGTTGATTGAAATATATCTACTGATATATATATATCTCTGAAATATATCTACTCCTGGACAGCTGTCATAATTACATAATTACTCAGGCTTTGGTTGCAGTAGATCCTAACACCCCAATAAGGGAGGGTCCCACCACGGCACCTGAATGGACCCTGGGTGAACTGCAAAACTACCCCAGCATTGAAATGGAACAACCTTGAGAGCATAAAAGCATGGTCTTGATGCAAGAGAAGGACCTCCATGGGTAAGGATAAGCTGTAACTGTCTGAGGACCTAGTCTGGGGTTTACGGTAAAGCCCAGCAGAACTGCCCTCAGAGCCCAGAGACCTAAATTTTGGAATCGATATCTCTTACTGTGTTTATCCAAATAACTGCAAATATTAATAAGAAATAAACTCAATTGTTTAATGTTTACTCTAGCTAGGGGAAGAGAAAAGCAATATCATGCTTGTTGCCTCTGGGTGATCTCTCTGTATAGTCCCTGGGAGACAGTGTCTCCTTGAGTTAATCCCCCAAAAGAATTGCCTCCTTCAAAAAACTTCACCTCTGTAAATGTTGTTTTATTTTATTTTGGTTTTTGGGTCACACCTGGAGATGCTCAGGGGTTACCTGGCTCTGCACCCAGGAATTATTACCCCTGTCGGTGCTCAGGGGACCATAGGACCATATGGGATGCTGGGAATCGAACCTGGGTCGGCCGCATGCAAGGCAAACGCCCTACCTGCTGTGCTATCACTCCAGCCCCCGACCTCTGTAAATGTTGAATCACACCTACATGCAGTTCTATGCCTTGAGCCCCCTCAGGTGTTCTATATGTATGCTAACAGCTCTGCATTAAACGGGCCATTTTGACCATTAGTCTTGTGGTTCCCTGTCTCTTTGATTCTCTGCTGGGGAGGAGGCTCTTGGCCACCGAATGCATGTGTTGTGCACCCATATTTTAAACTCACAGATTTTTTAAAAAAATTATTTTATTGGTCACACCCACCAACTGGCCCCCTGGCGCCGTGTAATCCCATCAACGGCCAAGACTCTGAGACTATAAAAACCAGCTCCCGGAGGAGAAGAGCGCAGTCTCCTGCCCCCGCGCCTGGCTATTCCTTGCTGGAGCCCCTTGGAGGGGAGCGGGTTGAGCTTTCCTCCCTGCCCTGGCCAGGGCCCCGGCAGCCGAAGACCTCCAGGACCAGCCACCACCATGCTGAGACCACTCTCCGCACACCTGAAGGTACCGGCAGAGGGACAAAGCCACGTGGGTTCCGGGGCCGAGATCTCCAAGCCTACTCGGATTGGAGTTGAGCATCCTCCACCCAGATCCTCCAAATTCCAGTAGGCGGGGGTCACACCCACCAACTGGCCCCCTGGCGCTGTGTAATCCCATCAACGGCCAAGACTCTGAGACTATAAAAACCAGCTCCCGGAGGAGAAGAGCGCAGTCTCCTGCCCCCGCGCTTGGCTATTCCTCGCTGGAGCCCCTTGGAGGGAAGCGGGTTGAGCTTTCCTCCCCGCCCTGGCCAGGGCCCCGGCAGCCAAAGACCTCCAGGACCAGCCACCACCATGCTGAGACCACTCTCCGCACACCTGAAGGTACCGGCAGAGGGACAAAGCCACGTGGGTTCCGGGGCCGAGATCTCCAAGCCTACTCGATTGGAGTCGAGTATCCTCCACCCAGATCCTCCAAATTCCAGTAGGCAGGGGTCACACCCACCACCTGGCCCCCTGGCGCCGTGTAATCCCATCAACGGCCAAGACTCTGAGACTATAAAAACCAGCTCCCGGAGCCGCGCGGCCGCGAATGCGACCTCTTATTATGACATCTCATTCCTACTTTGACAAACTGGCAGGCTACCGAATGTAGCCTGCCCACACGGCAGAGTCTGGCAAACTCCCCGTGGCGCACCCAATATGCCAAATACCAGTAACAATGATGGGTCTCATTCTCCTAAAGAGCCTTGAATATAACCTCAGGGCCAGGATGAAGGAGACCTTACTGGGGCCTGCTCGAGGCAATTGACGAATAATAGGATGATCTGTGATCTGATTTTATTGGGGGCTGGAGCAATAGCACAGCGGGTAGGGCATTAGCCTTGCACGTGGCCGACCCAGGTTCGATTCTCAGCATCCCATATGGTCCCCCGAACACTGCCAGGAGTGATTCCTGAGTGCAAAGCCAGGAGTAACCCCTGAGCATCGCTGGGCGTGACCCAAAAAGCAAAAAAAAAAATTATTTTATTAAATCACCATAAGATTGTTACAAAGCTTTCATATTTGAGTTTCAGTCCTACAATGATTGAACACCCATTTTCCACCACCAATGTCCCCATTATCCCCCTGCCCACATCCCACCCCTCCCCCTGCCTCCATGGCAGACAATTTCCCCCATACTCTCTCTCTACTATTAGGCATTCTGGTTTGAAATACAGATACTAAGAGCACGTTTGGTCCTTCCTCTACTTTTAGCACACATCTCCCATCCGGAACTATCCCTCCAACCATCATTGACTTAGTGATTCCTTTCCTATTCCAGCTGCCTTCTCCCCCAGCTCATGAGGCAGGCTGCCAACCACGGAGCAATCTTCCTTGCCCTGTCTCTACTGTCCTCGGGTGTCAGTCTCAAATTATGTTATTTTATATTCCACAAATAAGTGTAGTCATTCTATGTCCCTCTGTTTCTGACTCATTTCACTTACCATGATACTCTCTATGTCCATCCACTTATATGCAGATTCCACGATTTCATCTCTTCTGACAGCTGCATAGTATTCCATTGTGTAGATGTACCAGAGTTTATTTAACCAGTTGTCTCTTCTTAGGTACCTGGGTGGGTTTCCAGATTCTGGCTATTGTGAATAGTGCTTCAGTAAACATACAAGTGCAGATATCATTTTTACTGTTTTTTTTTTTTTTTTTGCTTCTCTGGGATATATTCCCAGGAGTGGTATTGCTGGGTCATATGAAACTCAATTTCTAGTTTTTGGAGGAATGTCCATATTGTTTTCCAAAAAGGCTGGACCAGTCTGCATTCCTACCAACAATGAACGAGAGTCACTTTCTAAACTCACAGGTTTTTACTTCTGCAAATATTTCCCTTTCCTTTAATATGGTTCTCCCCATCCCTGCACTGTTAGCAGTTGAACCAGGGACTCTCTCCTGCAGTGCGAGTACCTTGCTCCTGAGCCACCCCCTATGTTCTATTTGATTTCTTCCCTCTTTTAAAAAAAAAAAATCCTGGGGCCTGAGTAATAGTACAGTGGGTAGGGTATTTGCCTTGCATGTGACTTACCCGGGTTCTGTCCCCAGCATTCCATATGGTCCCCTGAGCACTGCCAGGAGTAATTCCTGGATGCAGAGCCAGGAGTAATCCCTGAGCATCGCTGGACGTGACCAAAAAAAGCAGAACAAACAAACAAAAAAACCCCTAATTTGGAAGTAAAAGCCTTTGTTTGGTCTTGGTAGAATTCTAACTAATACCCTGTATTTTCTCATTCCTTTATTGTCAAACTTTGCACTTGAATAGTTAAGGTTTTGGTCTTCTGCTTCCATGTTAAACCCTACATTGAATACACCATAGTTTTCTTCCTGAATCTGAAATGGCATACTCCTGAATATTATAACAAGTGAAATGAAACTTTAAAGTCCTATCACTAAAAACTTTGTAAGTTTTCATTCCATGAGTTTAAAGAAGTCTAGTGAGAATCTGTTGTACCTCAAAACTATTGTACTTCAATTTAGGTACACTCTTAGCACATACGTAATGTGATTTGTTTTTCTGCAAAACCCATGGTTTGTATCAGATTCCAGAAAGAGATTATAAATACCATATTTTAGAGAAAGTTTTAATACTTTTTCCTCTTCTCTTTTACTGTTGCTGTAGTGATGATAGGGCTTGTACACACGATTCTGGTGCTAGCAGCACTTTGATTGTGGCACTTTCTGGAGTGCATCAAATTGATGCTGGAAATCACAAAGGGCAGTGCCTACTGGCTCACACTGTACCCCCTTTGAGCCCTGCCCCCCAAACCATACTTACTCTTTTTTTTTTTTGGGCCACATCCAGCAGTGCTCAGGGCTTACTACTGACTTTGTGTTCAGGGATCACTCCTGGCAGAGCTCAGGGATTATGTATGGT